TCCCTGTCACAGACTCTTACCTGTGCCTTGCAGAGAAACACAGTACCACATACAACAAATAAATAAATAATATCTGGTGGTGACTCATGGAAATGATTGTATTAAGGAAAAGATAATATTAAGGAAAGGCTAACTTTTGTATTCACACAGATTAACCTCTTGTCATTGGCAGCCTGAATCTCCTACCCAGTCGCAGCACTTCCTGACAGTAGGCTCTGAGCCAAGCAAAGCCCATTGGCTTTAGCAGCATAAAACCCCAATTTGAGTGTCTATCAGGTGACATTTGCACCTCAGCCGCTCAGTAGCCACAGCAACAATCAAAGATAAGGATGGAGTCGGGCTGGAAGTATTTAGAAGTTCCTCCCTTTTTTGGCTTTTTTTTCAGAGGCCATGGCAAGGCCAGTATTTAGTTTCTTAAGGCATTTGCTGGAGACCTGTCTTTATCCCTGTGTAAGGTGGGAAGGGAGCAGTGCTGGTATTTGATTGCTTGGGCTGTTGCTGTCAGAAAGCAGGAGGGTTTTGCTATGCTCTTGTGACACCCTTGCACTTGGTGCTAGCAGAGGATGCCAAGCTGCCTGGGGCTTGGGCAAGCACCCTGAGCAAGCAGAGGTGAGAGCACGGGGCAGAGGAAAAAGTATATTGGCTTTTTTGTATGTGTGTTCTTCTCATGGTCTATTTTATCTCTGTCTTCTTGATTTTTAGATGAAAATCTTTGACAAAAACAAAGATGGACGGCTGGACCTGAATGACCTGGCAAGGTAGGCTTTAATAATATTGATGGGGTTTTTCAGCTTGCAATGGCAGATCCAGGCAAGGTGATGATCTCCCTCTAGGGATGTGCATTTGAATCCTACCGCCTTTCAAATTAAATCAGGTACTGTGATTTAGGTATTCCAGGTCTCTAACGCATTATCCCCACCATAATAGTCCGAGAACCTAGAGCCGGTGACACTGAGCAATGCCAGAACCTGTTTGTGCATCACCAACACGCTCTGGCAGGATCCGTGCTACCTCTACAATGCTCCTCAGGAGGTGATGAAGCAGCCAGTGACACCATTTCTCCAAAAGAAGGATGGCAATCCCCTTCAGCAGGGTCACAGATGTGCGTTTATTTCACATCCTCATGCACAGCAGGGATTGCAAAGAATTTTTGCTCCTTCTTTGAGGAATAAAGGTGCCACTGCAAAGGAGCTTGCCAAAGGCAGTGAGAAAGGATCTGGAGAGACAAGGTGAAGACGCTTGTGAGTGACGCTGGGGACTCAGTCACGGGCCTCTGTCTCTTTTCTGTCCTTGGTACCTCAGAGGCTTTTATACGGTTTTCACTGCATACAGATAGAGCATGCCTCTGTCTGTAAATGTATGTGCAATGGCTGGATGGGACTTTAAATGTGCAGGTACAGTCTTAAAGCACTGGTTTGGGGGATGAGAGGAGAGAGGTGCTCGTTTGCCACTGCTACCTTCTGCTTGGGATCACAACGAATGCCAGCACAAATAACTGCAATGCATGTGGCAGTTTGCTTTGACCACAGAATATATGAAGAGAAACAGAGGCAGGATGGAGAATATCTAAAGGGGGTTGCTGTTGCATTTTCCTCTTAAACACGGTTCCCTTGCGCCATGCCAGCTGAGGCTCCCCTCTGGTCTGAACACATTTCTCACACCCCAAACTCTTCAGTGTGCAGACACAGCTCAGCACACCCGGTGTCGCGGGCTCTAAAAACCTCTGGGTTAGCAGAGCAGATGGAGAGAGAAAAGCTTTTATCAGTGCTGTGAGGGGCTTTAGGAGGGAGGAGGGGAAAGGAGAGGAATTTGGCCAGTCTTGGTGCTCAAGCCAGTATTATTTGTCCTTTACTTTTACAACCACCAATTTTCCCTCCAACAGAGAGCAATAAATTACTTTCCTTTAATGCAGCACAGCAATCCAGTTACGAGGAATGATTGTCTGGTAGCTCTAGCTTCGGAGGCTGACAACCTCCATTGTACTGGACCACCAGAAATGCTCTGGGAGAAGCAATGGTGCTAAGAAACACATCTGCAGTGAGCCAAAGGGCACCCGCCATTCCCCATCAGACAGGGAGCAAGGCATGTGTCCATCTAACAGCCCTCTGTAAATAACCCTGCAGGAGATTTTCTTTTTTAAAGCCCTATAATCTAAAATCTCTTTGCTTTATGAACCAGAAGAGTATGGAATAGTTTGTGTGCAGATGATAAAGCAGACAGATCGTAATTTAAATCTCTCCATTCAGGATTCTGGCACTCCAGGAAAATTTCCTTCTTCAATTTAAAATGGATGTAAGTAGCACTATTTTTTGATGCATCAATCCTGTCTATCTCAGCTAAGGTAACCTGGGACGAAACTTCAAGCTTTTCTTTTTTTTTTTTTTTTCATTTGCTTGTCCTCTCTACATGTAGGCTTGCAGCACGGAAGAAAGGAGGAGAGATTTTGAGAAGATCTTTGCACACTATGACGTTGTGAGTCCCAGAGGCCATTCCCTTGCCATCTTTAAATGCCACAGTTTTAACATATGCTGCTCAGACTTCTTCCTCCTGGTGGGTGCTGTGGGGGTCACTCAGGAGCTGCAGCTGTGCCTGAGCCCGTGGGCCAGAGGGGCCCAGGCGCCAGGCTGGGGGGTAAGGTGGGGACAGAGGGGAGCGATGCTCAGAGGCCTCGTGGCAAAGGACCCGTTTTGACTTTCTCCATCGCCACGGCCAGTGCTGGTGCATTAGCAGTATCTGCCTGCAGGAGACACAAGGGATGTAGAGGAGGTGGTGGCTTTAGCTCTCTCAGTCTCTGGCAGTTTGGGACCTGCATCACTACCACCTTGAAAAATAAACCCCCTTCCAGCACTGAACCAAGGGTTATTTAGGAAGTCTGGCCCAGGACAGACACGACCACCTAACTGCCTGTTAGAAATCAGCAATTCAGTGCCCCTTCTGACAGTCACACAGCTCCCTCAGGGGGGTGGCCAGGAAGCCTCACAAAATGGTGGGAGATGTTGCTCCTCTTTGAGGGGAAGAGATGGTATGGGAAAAAGGAAGGGATCTTAGATACTAAATATCAGGAAGAAGTTCTTCACTGTGAGGGTGGTGAGACACTGGAACAGGTTGCCCAGAGAAGTTGTGGATGCTCCGTCCCTGGAAGTGTTCAAGGCCAGGTTGGCCGGGGCTTTGAGCAACCTGATCTAGTGGAAGGTATCCCTGCCTATGGCAGGGGGGGGGGCGCGAATTTTGTTGAACCAGATTATGTTTAAGGTCCCTTCCAACCCAAACCATTCAATGATTCTATGATCTTTATGCTCAGTGACCAGGTGCACCTACGACCTGTAAACATTGTTGTGTTTTTGACTTGCTGGAGCATTTTGATGTTTCTTCCATCTTTCAGAGTAAAACGGGAGCACTTGAAGGCCCAGAAGTGGATGGGTTTGTCAAAGACATGATGGAACTGGTCAAGGTAGCTTCATGGCTCTTTCTATGTATTAATACCCTATATTTTCAAGAGGAAGGTGATTGTTTTGGTAAAGTTATATAAATAGAGAGGCTGCTGAGAGGGTAGAGTAAACTTTCACTTTGATGAGCAGCAGAAATGAATGTCATAGTCTCAGCATAAACACTGTAGAGTTTTGCGATATTTCACAGAAATTCTGCCTGACAAATTAATACACCTTCACTTAGCAACTGTATTTAAGAAAGGTCCATTCTAGCTTGTACTCTGAATTAGACAGATGTTACAGCATCACAAACCGGTCGACGTGGATCAGTCATCAGAAGTTCTTTCTTCTGTTCTCACTGTGAAAATGGTCTTCACCAACATGACCTCATGGTTCATTAGGTCATCACAGGCCTACACTTGAAAATTACTTGAGCTCTACCTCTAATCAGGAATACCGTGCCCAGTGTGTCACCAGTTCCTTACAGACGGCAGAGTCCATCTGCATTGGATTACCTTGAGTTTCCAGATGCAGTCCAAGATACAGCTTTTGAGCCAAATATAGTCTGGTCTTCGGCTCCCTCTGAGCCTGAGCTGTTGCATTTCCACACGATGTGACCCAATGCAGGGATGCCTGCGCTCCCCTGTCCATTTAGCAGAGAGCAGAGACTGCAGCTGCATGCTGATGGCTGTGTGTGTACATACATTATACGTGGTGTGTAGGGAAGGGGGTGAGGACAGGCAGGGTGTTGGATTTGTGCTCTGTCCATGTGTGCCCAAAGGAGCGAAGGTTGTACTTTCTCTAAGGGCCTTCATCAGCATTATCCTTGGGCACCACAAGCTGTGCATGTGAATTTGATCTCCTCCTGAGAAACTGGGAAGCAGAGGAAGTGGTACAGCATTAGGAGCACACAGAGACAGTCTAGCCTGTAAAATATGCCTTTAGCATTCATTTAATCCACTAAGGGTATTTTTAAGTTGCTGGCTAGCCTGTAAAATAGCAGCCTGCTGACAGAAATGCCACATCACTTCTCGTGTAGCAGGTTTGAGAGAGGAAACCAGATGAAAGCAGAGGTCCAGCGGTGCAGTGATCTGTATTGCACAACTTTCTGCAGAATTCTGTTTGATACGGATCAGATACTGATGGTCTTGGCTAACAACAAAAATCATGTTGCATTTCCTTACAGTTACTCACAGTCCCATACCTCTTCTGTTTTTGCTGGACATCCTTTCCCCATTCTCTGTTCACTTCCCCACCTCGTAAGCGCTGACGTGGGGTCAGGCCATTTGGTTGCTCTTCCTTGGGTGGATTTCCCTGCCGCTGCATGGCCTGCTGCTTTACAGGGCTGGGGAAATCCAGAACCATTTTCTCTCTCAGCACCATTTTTCTCTTTTGCCTGCAGCCCAGCATTAGCGGGGTGGACCTGGACAAGTTCCGCCAGATCCTGCTCAACCACTGCGATGTGAACAAGGATGGGAAAATTCAGAAATCCGAACTGGCTTTGTGTCTTGGGCTTAAAATGAACCCGTAGCCAGGAGAATGCTCATGGTTGTGTTTCCCTTGTGAGATTTGCCTGCTGCTCCTCGTAGAAGTGTGTCCGTGCTGCCGTGTGAGCGGTGGGGAGCAGGGGCACGCCGCTGCCGGGCTGGAGAGCGGCTGCACGGAGACGCGGCAGAGTGGGATCCACACGGAGGGCCTCCCTGCTCCACCACTCCCTTTGTGGTGTTTGCTCGCTGCCGGTGCTTGTGGGTCCCCTTAGCAATGTCTCTGCCCACCAGCTGCACACCAGCAGCTCAGAAAAGGGGTTGCTGTTCTTCTCCTTCCCCCATGCCCGTCCCCTAGGATAGGGACAAGCATCTCCTTAAAAAAATCCTGTCAGTGCTCTCAGAGTGCAGCTACTAGGTGTTTCTGATGGTCGCCTTGTGTGTGAAGTCATTACTTTGGTGAGCATCGTGCTTGCTTTGTACATTTAACATATTGGCTGGATAGCAGTGTATTTGTGCAGAAATAAAAAATGGCAGTTACAGAAATTCAGTAAGATTGGAGTTTTTGTTTTATGTGCGGAAAGCCATCTGCTGCAGGCTGGCAGACCATACGTAGTAGCCATTTTATGGCATCAAATGGCAAGAGGTTTTGTGATGCCTATCCGCTGTGGTGTTTAAATCTGCCAGGAAATGAAACATGGTAGATCCTTCTCATGGGGAAAGCACACACACCAGGAAACAGATCACCTCCAGGATGAAGTCTTGGGGTAACATAACTTCTGGAGGAAGCCTTTCTTCTGACTCAAACTGAAATAATATACAAGGTTTCCATAACTGAAAAACTGGAAGGACAGAAGCCTAATGAGAGCAAAGCTCTTAAGCACATGCTTATTTTTTTAAAGCCATAAGAGTCAGTAAATACTTGTAACCTTTAATGAACTTAAAGCTTCCCATCACTCCCAGGCCATGAGTGTAATCCTGGAGCCTAATGGCAGCAGCATCATTTGTGCCACATATTTCCTTATTCCAAAGGCTTTGACTACATATTCAGACACTGCCAAACCTACGCTATCACACCCAAATAATTCTTCATTTCCGATGAGAAAACTGTGGAGGAAGGGTTGTTGGCAAAACTCCTGCACATTTCAGCATTTCTGTCTCCTACAGATGAGAGACCCAGATTTGACACTACAAGTGTCTTTCTGGCTATGTTCCTTGCACAAGGCAGTGCAATGAAACACGCCCTTTATACTCGGTTTTATTAAAATTGTTCAGAAATTACCTTCAGTCGAGACAAGTAGAGATGGAAATGCTGAGTCAATAAAGCACTTAAGAACATACACGACTTCAGAGATATGCTCATTTTCTATTTTCACTGATGATAAGCTCACAGACCAAACAAGTGCTAAGTGCATGTTTCACCCCAGCATGGAACTAGGGCTTTAAACTCCAAAACTGCTTTTTATCACCCTGGCAGCAACACAAATCACAACCTCAATAACAGAGCTTTGCAACGGTTCAGAAAAACTATAAACAAGGAATCAGGCCTTAGCAGCAGCTCCCCAAGCCATCAGGACTGCACTTTTACTCATGGACGCTCGCTTCCATCTGAGGGAAGAGCTGTGGTCAGGAGTGCATGACAAAAGATAGGAAGCTGGCAGAGAAATCCCATGTACCACTGTTTATCAGACATGCTTTGTCTCCATACTGAAGAATTTGCAACAAATCTAGTGGGGCACATCACCAACCATCTTTTCATCATACCTCCAATAAGATGTGACTTATCAGCCTAAATAATTATGCCTTTAAGTTTATTCTCCTGTTTCTCTCTCTTCTTTCAGCCTTTATATTGTTCTCATTGTTATTATTATTTTCTTAAACTACAGTTTCCATTACTTTGAACATGGGAGCAATTTTTGTACCGTCCACTACAATATATTTCCACCTGTAGATATATGTTCTTTATGCTATTTGTATTTTTTGATGATAACAGATCCATTCTGTTTCACCCCTGTTTAAGCCTATTCGTATCAATAGAACTTTTTCTCATTTATTAAAGTATAAATTCAAGAATATCCTGCCCTGCCTCACCAAAAATACAGCAACTTTTAACCTAAAATGAAAACAATCTTTTAAAGACTGTATACAACCAAAGGTCTTATTTCAAGAATTATACAATACTTCATCCATCTTTATTGAAACCTTATGCTTTTCACATTCTCCACAGCCAATAGGTTTTTTTCAACAGACGCTAAGCAGTAATGAATTTAATATGTCGGTGTCACAGTGTATTTTGCTTCTTTTGTACAAACCTGATTTTTTTTTTTTAATACTGACTTTGCTAAAGCCTTTCTCTCTAAAAGTTCACGCAACCAGTTTTATTAGCTTGAAATAAGTGACTGCATAGCCTTCAGTAAGTGCGTTTACAAGAGCATTTTACAAAACATTAGCAAAAAGTAATTGGGGATGGTAGATTAAACGTTTACATACAGAACTCAGAAAAGGGTTGGTGTTTTTTTTAATGTTGCGATTGTTTTTTTTTTATTTAGTTCTGTATTCCCATGAGGATATTTTTTTGTGTACAAAACAGCGACTAGAGAGCAGGAAAACAGGCATGCACACTGCCTTATTTGCAGGGACCATAGGGAAGAGCCATATCCCAGTGGGACTCCAGCCCAAGTGAGCTGCAGATCCCCTATAAGCAGAACAAAATGTCAGGAGCTGCAATGGGATTTGAGCCCCCGTTGCAAAGGTCAGCAAGGCAATTATTAACGAGTCATGGTCTTATAACCCTCTAGACTGTAAAAGCCAATGTTATTGCAGGAGGCAGGCATTTTGAGACTTCCCGTGGAGAATATGTGTTCCTTGCAGAGATTTTTTTCTTTTTAATTATTGTTTTCAATTCAGTAATGAATGATCTGTAAGGCCCTTTGGTCTCAGGCACTGGTGATCTTATCCTTTTAAGCTGCTATAGATATATAGATAGACAATACATTTTGATGAAACATAGCTATTGGCCATTTTGCAAATTCGAAGCGTACTGTTAATGTGCAGTGTGGAGTCTCTTATGTACCAAAACATGAAATAGTGTTTCGCTTTTGAATGATTACACGAAGATACCTGTTTTGCATTAATTATATGAAAACATCTTGCCTGCAAAACCAAGAACATTTATACACCATGACGCCTTCTGTGCTGTAAATATATTGAAGATATGCAAGGAAGGTTTGGAGCTGTTCGATCAGTGCATCTTCTGCCAACAAAATTCTGCGGATATCACATTATTTAGGAGCCTGCGTCTTGGTAACTAGAATTTGAATGCAGAAGGTGAATGAAAATGCTTGCCAAGATATTTTCCCTTGGTATTTTAATGTTTTTCTCTAGAAAACTGTGATTAAGGGATTCACAGTTTTCTATTTCGTCAGAGTACACAAATTTACTGAAATAAAATTGAACTTATTTTTATATCATCATATTTAAGAGCTATATTTCCAAAAGACATTTAGCCACCACAAGCATAGTTGTCAATATGCACAGTGATCCCAAATGTGTCATTTTAATTTTTTTTTTCCTTTGGTTGTTTAATTGGCAAACTGCTGGATCTGGAAATAAATGTGTGAATTTCCTCAAAGCAAAGCTGTTCCTTTGCCTCCCTTTTTCCTGTCATGATTTAATCCCAGTGAGCAGATAAGCACCTCACAGCCACTTACTCACTCCTGCCTGATGGGATGGGGGAGAGAATCAGAAGAACAAAAGTGAGAAAACTCGTGGGTTGAGATAAAGACAGTTTAATAGGTAAAGCAAAAGCCATGCTCACAAGCAGAGCAAGACAAGGAATTCATTCACTACTTCCCATGGGCAGGCAGGTGTTCAGCCGTCTCCAGGAAAGCAGGGCTCCACCACGCGTAACGGTTACTTGGGAAGACAAACACCATCATTCCGCATGTCCCCCTCTTCCTTCTTCTTCCCCCAGCTTTCTATGCTGAGCATGACATCATATGGCATGGGATATCCCTTTGGTCAGTTGGGGTCAGCTGTCCCAGCCATGTCCCCTCCCAGCTTCTTGTGCAACCCCAGCCTCCTCGCTGGTGGGGTGGGGTGAGGAGCAGAAAAGGCCTTGACCTTGTGTAAGCACTGCTCAGCAGTAACGAAAACATCCCTGTGTTATCATCAACGCTGTTTCCAGCACAAATCCAAACCATAGCCCCATACTAGCTACTGTGAAGACAATTAACTCTATCCCAGCCCAAACCAGCACATAGGAGATCATGCCCTGAACTCCAGTCATGCTCCCTGCTCGTCTCGGCCCTTCTCATCTTTGGCACTTGACACAGCTTTTTTCTGGATGACTTGCCACGACAACTTTGTTCAGAACAAGCTGTCTCTGACAGCTTCAGTTGAGTGTGTAGAACTGATATCCATGAAAAATGAACGTTTACAGGGCTTTTTAACTCAAATCCATCCCTTGTCTAACTTCATTGGTTTCACTGGAAATGATGGTATAGAGACACAATCTTTTCTCCCATCATTTTGAACCTCAACAAACTGCTTGCTCATCCCGAGCCATCACCATGGACATCTGCCACTGGAGACCCCCAATTTCCTGAGCCAGCCTCACAATCCCAGATTGCTCACTTGCCAGCTTGTCCCTTGGTCTGTGCAATTTTTTGCCCACAATAATGAACCCAAATACACACGCTCACCTCATTCCCCAGTCTGAACACACTCCACCAGTTTCATATCACTGACACCCAAACTAGAACCAGATGAGAAGTTTACAAAGAGTAACGTTTAAGTTTCTGCAGTGCTTTATTTTCAGATTTTCAGTAAAAGACTTATCTCCATTTATTCTCCCAAAACTGCTTTAAACAACACAAGTGAACCTGCCTGCATGTCTTCCGAAAACCACTTTTTATTCCTACTGAAAGCTAAGAATTGAGCATCAGCCCCAAGGAAGGGCTCAGAGCATAGGAAACCAGCACAATATTTTGATTACTCTGCTTTTCTGTTTGTGTGGCAAGAGAATAGTGTCAATACTAATGAAAACAATTGTGACTAATGCAGCCAACAAGACTATCAGAGAATCATCTGCCACATTACAATAGGAACCCATCACAAGAAACACCTTAATTACAGCTATTATCTC